TTTATAAAGTGTTTACAACTTTCACTTTTTAATGTTGTAAAAGTAATATATGTTCTTTGTAAAAAAAAAAAAAAAAGAAGAAGAAGAAAAAGCTTGTAGAGACCACAGAATAGATTATGTAAGAAAATACAAAAATAAAAATCATCCGTATTCCCGCATTTAGAGATCATTATTGTTAACATCTGGGGGCATATCTTTCCAGGCTTTTTCTTTCATGTTCCATATATAGATATCACCACCCGTCTGTCAGCTTGTTATACTAGGGTGTCTTGCATGTTGCTGTGATGCTGGAAGCTATGCCACTGTTATTTCAAATACCAGTAGGGTCATCCATGATGGACAGGTTTCAGCACAGCTTCCAGACTAAGACAGATTAGGAAGAAAACCTGACAATTTACTTTTGAAATTCAGCCAGTGAAAACTTTATAGATCACAGCAGAACATTGTCTGATATAATGGTGGAAGATGAGTCCCCTAGGTTAGAAGGTACACAATAGTCACAACAATGGACTCACACATACCAGCGATCACAAAGATGGTGCAGGACGCAGCAACCTTTTGTTCTGTTGTATATGGGGTCGTCATGAGTTGGAGCCAATTGTAAGGCAACCAACAACAACAACAGCCATTATTTGTTGGACAGGCAGAAAGCGTTTTCACTACCACATTTCCAAGTCTTAGGGGAATGAATGAATGCTTCATTTTAGCCCTCAAATACAGACAACTCATCTACCCATGCTAGAAGGATTAGAAAGGCATCCTGTGGGGATGACCCATGACCTGAGTCTGGGCTAGTTGACTAACTGGCACAGATCTCAGGATTTGAGCTTGGAAATAGTTTTCAAGGTTTGGCTCTGTCCTGAGTCATCCTAGACCCAGACAGTCTGAAGAAGGTCAAGACAGTTACTAGCCTTTTCCAGGACTCCCAGGCCCTAGTGTGGTTTCCTTGGCTCGGCTGTGATCAGACCTCTAGAGCCATACGACCACTAACTTCTATGATGTCATAAACAACTCTGCTTGCCCTGGTCACTTCATATTCTCATTCAAGCCTATGCTCAACAAACTCAAAAGGACATAATCGTGCAAAATAAGTGATATTCCTAACACAACTTACATTTGAGCTTGTTGCTAAAGTGAATTTTCCTCCTGATCCTCCTATTAGTAAGCGTGCTTTTGGGGTATGGTTTTGGTTCTCTCCCTCTTTTCTGACTCTGCTTTTATCATATTGCCTTTTATCCAGCAGTCCTGGAGTAGATAAAACCCAAAACCCAAAACCCACCGCCATCGAGTCAATTTCGACTCATAGCAACCCTATAAGACAGGGTAGAACTGCCCGCATAGGGTTTCCAAGGCTGTAGATCTTTACAGAAGCAGACTGCCACATCTTTCTCCCACGGAGCAGCTGGTGGGTTCAAACCACTGACCTTTTGGTTAGCAGCTGAGTGCTTTAACCACTGCACCACCAGGGCTCCTTGGAGTAGATAAACTCACCAAAAAAAAAAATAGAAGAGGAAACCTTGTTGCAGGGGTAAAGCTCCCTCCCCAAAACGCAAGAGCTGGCTGTCTGCAGTCTCTCCTCTGAACCTCTCTGCTGAGATAACAGGGAGGTGTCGTCAGTTGCTGTCAAAACACTTCCGACTCACGGCAACCCCAGGCGTGCAGAGCAGAACTGCTCCAGAAGGTGTTCAAGGCTGCGACCTTTAGCAAGCGGATTCCAGGGCTTTCTTTTATGGTGTCTCTGGGTGGGATCAAACTGCCAACCTTTTAGTAGCTGAGCACTTAACCATTTGCTCTACCCAGATAATAGGGAAGGGAACCAAAAATTTAGATGACAAACTCCCCGGAAGACGTTTACTCCAGGCTCTACTTCCACTCCAGCTTAAAGGCAAAAAGTTTTGTTTCTACTACATTCTACCGTCTGGAACAGGGAAGTGACAAAAAAAAAAAAAGAACAGATGCTTAAGAAAACCGTTTCAAATGTACAAGGGGAGAAAAAGAAGCCCCAGTAAAATAGCATTCTTTCAAATCATACTGACTCCAGCTAAGCTTGGCTACACAGCTGTTGTGGTTGGGTGCCATCGAGTCAATTCTGACTCATGGCAACCTTATATGACAGGGTAGAACTGCCCCATAGGTTTTCCTGTACTGTAATCTTTACAGAAGCAGATCGCCAGGTCTTTTCTCCTGTAGAGCAGTTGATGGGTTCGAACTGCCAGCCTTTCAGTTAGCAGCCAAGGACTTAACCATTGCGCCACCAGGGATCATTGGCTACATGGTACTGACTAGAATAACTCATAGCACAGTTTCTTCTCCGAGCCTTTGTACTTGCCGTCTGCCCTGCAGACAGCCACACAGCTCATCCCTTTATACTTCAGGCGTCTGCTCAAGTGCTTCCTGATCAGTGATGCCTTCCCTGGCCACTCCATGGGAAAAAGCAACTCTTCCAAGTCCCCCTGCCCCTAGCACATCCTATGCTTTTTATTTCTCCCGCCTCTATTTTTCTCCATATCAGTTATCACCACCTGATTTTTTTAATTATTATTATTTTGGTTTCTCTTCCTTCTCCCAGCGGTACCTAAGCTCCATGACGAATGTCTGGTGTGCTCCCTGCAATAGCTTCACTACTCTGGGAACAGTCCCTGACAAGCAGTAAGCATTTAATAAACATTGGCTGAATTAATGCAAGAATGAATGGATGTGATTTTCAAAGCTTTGTTGCGTTCCTAAGTACTTTTCATTACACACTAAAATGATATTTTTTTCTATAAGGGTTACTTGAAATACAATGATGTAAATATTTTGACTTGAAATCATGAGACTTAAGTCCCAGTTCGGCCACTCATTTCTTGTGTAACCTGGTTAGATCATTTCTCTGGGCTTCAGCTTGTGCGTCTGACATCCTATGACTCACAATCATGACTTTAAAATCCAACAGAAGAATAGATTCCATAGATAAATATTCCCTGTGCGTGTCACATCTGGCAGTGTCTGTATGGCTCGAAGCAAGGTGTAACCATAAAGTGTGGGGTAAAGAGTTTAACCTTACCCAAAGAATTTGGTCTTTGTCCTAGTTTCCTGAGAGATAATCTCTAAAACCTTGGGATTATCCTAATGGTTTAAGTGTCCTCCATAAGGATTCCAGACTGGGTCGTTTAGGCAAAAGGTGCCTCTGGGCTGCAGGGCTGGCCAGGCCAGAGAGCCCAACCTCATGATGATTACCTCACATGACATGGCCAGAGAAACCCACCTTGTGGTCACCCCTTAATATTGACATCTCAGGGGAGAGAGATTGAAGTTTCCATTATGTAATAAGGCCCCAATAAAAGCTCTGGACACTGATTCTCCATGAGCTTCCTAGTTGGTGAAAGACATCAATGCACATGGGAGGGTAGCGCATCCTTTGGGACATGGAAGCTTTGCGCTGGGAACTCTCCCAGACCTTGCCCTATGTGTCCCTTCATTTGTACCTTTCTTGACTGAAATAGAACTGTAATCATTAAGCATAGCACTTTTATGAGTTTTGAGTCATCCCAGCGAATTACAGAACCCAAGGGAGTAGTGGGAGCCAGTAGGTCAGAAGTGAGGGAGGCAGGGAGCCCCTGAGCTTCAGCTGGTATCCTGAGCCATAAAAGGGAACCCCAGAATTTGTAGCCAGTAGGTCAGAAGTAAGGACAGCCCTAGGGACACCCAAGCTTGCCACTACCATCTGAAATCTTGGGCTGACTGGGCTTCTGGAGGACTGTCCTTTAATTTGTGAGAGCTGTCCTAGCTCCGGGTGGTTAGGTCAGATAAAGAAGTGCTGTGTGTGCAGCTGATGTCAGAAGAGAAAAAGTAATGGGGTTTGATATTTATCCACATATAAAGGTTACTATTTTTCAAGAGAGGTTATCTAATACATGCTCTATTTATTTTCTTAGGCCAAGATCTAATCTGGAAAGTTCGAACTTCTAAATTACTGGCCTCACAAAACCCAGTTATTTTCCAAAACTTGTAACATTTAGAGAGGATAGTAATCCGTTTCCATGCTTAAACCACAGGGCTTTGCTCTTTATTCTCTCTTCAAAGTTGCTAGTGTCCCTTACCTCATTTCTACTATATTATAGATCTCACGGCGTATAATGCCTCATGTAGGCACTAGGCATCAAAAGGCTTTTTTTTCAGCTATACTTGAAAAACTGGTCCAAATATGTTAAACTACCCACAGGAGGTAAAGATCAGAGAAAAATAAGATGGAATGTACAGGAATAAGGTCTAAGTCTCTTACAGGGAGCCCATATATAATAAGATGATACAGTACATGTTAAGTATTGACTACGTTAGCTCAGGGTTATTATACTTGATCTCTGTAAGAATTTTGAGAGTTCACCCCAGTATATCAAGTAAGGAGAAAGGTCTCATTTTCCAGAATTGAATAAAGACCAATAATCACACGATTGTGCAGGATGGAATTCAGTGTGGGTACAAATAAAGACCAACAAACTTTGAATTGAATCTTCTAACAACCCCAAGCAGTAGTTGTAATTATTACATCCATTGTACGGATGACGAAGCTGAAGTCCAGAAGATTAACTTGCCTAAGGTCACACTGCTAAGGTCAGTTGTACTCCAAAAGTCTTAACCAGCATGCTACACTGTCTCCTCTGAGAAGAAATAAGGCAAGCAACCGACGTACAAAACAGAGACAAAATCCGCCTTTCCCTTCCCCACCCTAAGTTCTCCAGCCAAACGGGGGCTCTAATCTCCCCAACTCAGAACTCTCTCTGACCACGCGACCGTGCCCCGAGTTCCCGTCATCCTGCGGGACTTCCTCACCACGCCTTCCTCACCACGCCCATCACTAGGGGACTCCCGGGGGGGAGGGTGGACGGCCCACCCCGCCCCGCCCCGAAGGCTGCCCCGAGTACGCGTGGGCGGACCAGTTGCCTGGGTAACGCGTGGCCGTTCCCCGATGGGGGGCGTGGCTTGGCCTGCTACAATCCAACAGTGGTACTGCCGTCAGTCTCCGGCTTCGGCGGTCTTGCTCGGGAACGGCTACTCCCCGCACGGAACGGACACCTGGCCTGGCCGGAGGACTCGGGACGGAGTCAAGGGGCCGGCCAAGGCGGGCGACTGAGGTGTCCAGAGGGTAGGCGAGGCGCAGGTGCAGCGCCCCGAGAGAGAGAGAGCGGCCTGGCCAGGGCGCGCGGGGAACGTCGGCTCCCTGGAAAATGTGCTCCTCCCGGCACTGCCGGGCCGAGGAGGGGACGTGAGCGGGAAGAGCCTTTGCCAGCAAGAGTTGTGGCTTAACCGTGCTTCACTGGTACCAAGAAACCAAAGTCTCCCTGCCGGCTGGGTGCGGTGGGCGTGGGCTCGCCTGCTCTGGCCCCTTCTGCTTGTGGCGTGGGAGATATTCACGGAGCACCCATTCAGTTTCTGTGGGCGGCTTTCTGAAGCCAACGTCTTTTCCTGCAGCAGGTCAGCGCGTTAGTGTGCCTCATATGCTCATGTAAGGAAACAGAATCAAGACTTCTGCCAACCCAGGTTTCCAGATTTGGAATTGTAGTGATCCCCAGACTGAAACTTCTGTCTCTATTATTGAAGGTGTCGCCTATAGAACGGTCCCCGTTGCGTTTGCAGTTATTTGCTATAGAGGTTGGACTCCCAAAAGAAGTAACTACCTTTCTGTAGGGTGGAAAGTAAGCCAGTAAATTCTAAATTGGCAAATTCTTCTGGCCTCAAAAATGATAGAATCTTGACAAGCAATTTTGTTTATTCCATTACGTTAATAACCACGTGGGAGGATGCTTTAATAAGAGGGTTAATGGTCATTGCCAATAACAAATACAGCCTTCTGATAACCATTGAGATTTCGGTAAAAAAAAAATAATATAATTGAATAGTAGAACAAAAATTTCTACAGAAATTTTTGAAATAATATTGACCACAATATAAAGAGAAAGATCTAGTGTAGTCATTTGAACTTTTGGTCAGTTGAAAAATTCAGCAAAATTTTTATTTTGAAATGAAAATACATTGCTACACTTCCAAGCGCTGGGCTGCTAACCGAAAGGTTGGCAGTTGGAACCAACCCAGAGGTGCCTCAGAAGAAAGGCCTGGCGATCTACGTCTGAAAAATCAGCCATTGAAAACTCTGTGGAGCACAGTTCTACTCTGACACTAATGGTGTTGTCATGAGTGGGAATCAGCTAGAGGGCAACTGGTTAACTGAGTAAATAATTGTTCTTTGGTTCATGGTCTTTTAATGCCCCCAAGATCACTCTGAACTTGCTATCATTATGTGGTATTTAATTGTAAAAATAAGATGCAAATGATTTGGCTTTGTACCCTGGAGATTTCTGTTTAGTTAAATTATTTACTTGATTGCTCTTTGTTGTGATTTTGTCGTTCTCATAGAAGTGGAAAGTTTCTTCCAGTGTTTGAAATTGAAATTTTAATGAGCTGTTTTCTAGTTAATTTAGTTTTTAGAGAAGCCTGTTGCCACTGTTAATTAAACACAATTGAATATATTCTTTAGTACATATAGTCCTAGTAAACACCTTTAGCTTCAAAAAAAAAAGCCATCAAATAAGTTCCTTGGAAATTGTTTTACAGCCTACGCACATAAAAAAAGAATTTGCAAGCCAGACATTGGAAGAGATGTCAGAAGCTTCAGAAAAGGAAGACCATTCAGACAGAACAATCAGTGATGAAGATGAATCAGTATGTTTTTCTCAACTTTATTCTACTAAATTTGAGATGAACTTAGAGACAAAATATAAAGTCACAGTTAAAATATTGTAAAATCATACTGGCCTAAAGGAGACTGGAGAAACCCCGAGAGTATGGCCCCCAGACACCCTTTTAGCTCAGTGGTAAAGTTACCTTCGAGGTTCACTGATCAGCCTGCGAGTGGACAGCCCAGTAAAACCATGAGAGTAACGAGGTACAGGAGTCCAGTGACAAGGCCCAGAAGGCAGAAGGGGAGTAGGAAGCTGATGATAGGGAACACAAAGTAGAGTAAGGATATTGTTGATGTGTTGTGAGATTGTTAACCATTGTCATAGGGCAACATTTGTAGTAACTGTTAAATGGGAGACTATTTTGTCCTGTAAGCCTTCATCTTAAGTGAGAATAACAGCACAATTAGAAGAGCGTAGTCAATGTCACTTAAATGTGTATGTAAAAAAAATTTTTGAAATGGCGTATCTTTGGCTATGTGTATTTTCACCAAAAAACAAAAAAAAAAGTCGAGAATTTAGAGGGTTAAAAGGTTGTGGGGTTGTTAACCAATGTCATAAAACAGCATGTGTGTTACTGTTACATGAGAAACTATCTGTTCTGTAAGCCTTCACCTGAAGTACAATAAAATATTTAAAAAAAAAAAAAATATTGTAAAATCAGTTTGTTGTGAATATCAGTTGGATGATTGTCAGTTGTCCCTGAAGTTGGGAAATAATTTGATTGATTGAAAAACTAAGCTATTAGTGTGTAACATGCCCTATCTACAAAGAGAAACTATATTCATATTGTTTTCATTGAGAAAACATTTTGGCTAAGACTCCTCTGTGTTTTATAAAAACGCATGTATTCCATCATAATTAGGGTTTTATTTTAATAATTTATATCTGCTTATTATAGGTTCTAATTATACTGTTACATCATAATATGCATCATACTACTAGATGTAATACTGGAACTTTACGTGTTCTGATGCTGTTGTGTATCACGTAGCAGGTTTAATGGGGACTCTGTGTCACAAAGGAAAGAACGCAGGAGAAAAATGGGGAAAAAATCAAACCATAGTATTTAAAAATATTTTGTCTGGTTCTAGTACCTATTTCTGAGAGATTTCTTTCACTTTTTAGTAAAGTATAAATTATCATGTATGTAGTTTAAAGTCCCAAAATAAAGCTCCCCAAGAGGTGAAATACAACCCTTTTAGTCTCTGGCTTTCTGTTTCCTTTTTGTTGTTATCAATTTTATTCTTAATTTTAATTGTTTTCCCAAGTTTACCATGAACCTCTAGACTTTATTCCTTCCCAACAGTCTGTAGTATGACCATACCCACTGGAAGAACAGGAATGAAAGATGCAAACTTAAGGTTTCAGGATATTTGAAGTGTTGGGTGATTTGAGACCAATAGCTCCTTACAATCTTTTAATTTTTTCCCCATCTGTTAAAGACTAAACACATATACTGAATTCCAAGTATTAAGATAGAAGCAAAACCTTTTCTGGGTTTGGAAACTTGGATTGTTAAAAAGAAAACTTTCTTTAAATTCTGTCTTAGGATGAGGATGAGGATAACTTCATAAAATTTGTACGTGAAGATATCCATCGGTGTGCACTTTTAACAGGTTTGAACTTATCCGTATATTTTTCCTTCCTTTTGTGATAAGACCTTGCACGAATGAAAAATAAGTAGAGGAAACTAAAAGAAAATTAGATTGAATAATACAGGGAATTACATGTCTGATGGACAGCGAGAAAAATGTGGGAAAAGTATTTGGAGAATCCTTAGTTTGTATCAGCTTTTATAGAAATCTTTTGGAGTTCAAACTTGTCAGGTTTGTTTTAGGTAAATCTGATTGATATTAGAAAAATAATTGAAGGTGGTGGTTATTTACTCTATAAAGGTCTTCACTTAACGTAAGGATTTACCTTGGCATTCCTTTAAATAACTAGCTCCTTAAGTGCTTTTGTAACTTAAGTTATAATAATCACAATGTTTGGAAATACATCTTTGATTTAAATGAAGCATGCCTTTATAAAGAGTTTCCTTAATAAAGTTATTCATCTGCAAATGTACATGTTGTGAGCATCTTGATGTATTACTTAAAAATTCATACTAATGATAAGTTTTAATATATACACCCATGAAAACATTGATTGTAGACTCAAGATAATAAACATTTCTGTCACCCCAGAAGTTTTCTCCTGCCCTCATGTTTACTTCCTGCAAAAATAAATGTATAATCATAAAAAATGTTCGTACTAATCTACCTTAATAGTGGGTATCAGATTTTAATATACACTCAATAGAATTCACCAATTTTAAAAGTACAGTTCTATGAATTTTGACAAAAGTATGATGTTTAATCATCACGAAAATCAAGATGTAAAATATTTCTGTCATCCAAAAAGCTCCCTGTACCTCTTTGCAGTGAATCCTCTTTTTCCCCCTTCACCCCTGGCTCCAGGCAACCACTGATGTGCTTTCTGTCCACTATAATTTCTCTCTTCTAGAATTTAACAGAAGCAAAATCATACGTCATGTTGCATTTTGTGTCTTCTTTCAGTTAGCATAATGCTTTTGAGATTTATCCATTTTGTTGCATATATCTATTGATCTATTTTCAGGTCCACGGACCTCCCTATCATCTCCATTCTGCTATTGAACCCATACAGTGAGGTTTTGAATTTTCAGATATGGTATTTTTCAGTTCTAAAATTTCCGTGTGTTTCTTTCTTATAGTTTCTATTTCTTTGCTGAGAATTCTTGTCTTTTCATTCATTCCAAGTGTGTTTTCCCGTACCTCATGGAGCATAATTATAATAACCCAAAACCAGTTGCTGTTGAGTCATTTTCAACTCATAGTGACCCTATAGGAGAACAGTCACATAGGGTTTCCAGGGAGAAACTGGTGAATTCGAACTGCCAACCTTTTGGTTAGCAGCCATAGCCTTTCACCACTTCACCACCAAGGCTCCATAGTTACAATAGCTTCTTAAAGTTCTTGTCTGATAGTTCCAACATCTGTGAAATCTCGGCATTGGCATTTGTTGATTTGTCTTTTCCCCTTAGAACTGATCATATTCCTGGTTCTTCCATTATGAATGCAATACTGTGTAGATTCTGGGTCCTTCTCAACGATGTCAATGCTTTTCTTCTCTCAGGCAGTCAACCCACTTAGTGTCAGACCATAAGTTCTGTCTCCCCTTCTATGGGCAGTTTTGAAGTTTCTGTTCAGATACGTAAGCCTTTGCTATGCTGACTTGGTTCTGTCCCATGCCTGCATAATTCAGCTGTTAATCTGATATTTGTGCTGGTGGTTCAGATTGCTGTTTCAGTCTCTAAGCTTTTCCTGCATCAGTGTAGTACTATCTTGCAAGTGTGTTATTCAAGGGCTAAGCTGAGAGACTTGTGTGGTTCAAATGTTACATTAGCAAAGTCTTTGCTATGCTAATTGAGTCTGTCCTATGTCTGCATAGCTCAGGGCTTAGGCTGAGTCTTCTGCAGGCTCAGATACAGAATTAGGAGATACCCTTGTCTGGTTCTTTCTCTCCTTTAGAATCCCCTCCACACCATGAGGCCCCTTTTCCTGGTTCCTCTGTTAAGAATTACCAGGTTTCTATCAGAGTTTTAGCCACTTATGCCACTCATTAACCATCACCAAAATCAAGATGTAAAACACTTCTATCACCCCAAAAAGCTCCCTGTGTGTCTTTGCAGTTAATCCTCTCCTCCCTCTCACCCCTGACTCCAGTCAACCACCAATTTACTTTCTCTCCACTATAATTCATCTCTTCTAGAATGACTGGGGCCTTCCGGGCAAAGTGGGGAGAAAAATCAGGAGGGAGAAACTCACCTCTGTGTGGGTCAAGTCTCCAAGTTTTGACAATCTGCCTGTTTTTGTTTACTTTTCAGACCCCTCAGAAAGTTGGGGTTTTTTTTTGTTTGTTTGTTTGTTGTTTTGCATTTCATCTAAAGTTTCAGTTGTAATCAGTGGGAGGGAAGGGTTGTGTAAGAGTTCTGCTGCCATGGTGGAACTGGAACTCTTGCCTGTTAACTCTCGATTGAATGACCAACCTCGTGAGTTTTACATGTCGATTGCTGGATTTTGTTGCATTCTATTAAAGAGTGTTGGACGGTCCTGACATGCAGTTAGGTTGCTTGTGGATTGGTTTCATCATTTCAAGGCTTGCTTTTAAGCTTTGTTAAGGTGTGTCCAGAGCAGAACTCTGGGGCTGAGTTCTCCTCAGTCAAGTCTCAGCTCAGATGTCACCCCTTCACAGAAGTCATACCTGACTAAAGTAGCATTCCTCCTCACTTCTCATTTTCAGTTATATTACTCTGTTTTATTTCTCTTATACTATTTATCCCCATCTGAAATTGCGTTGTGTTCCTATTTATTAAGTGTTCTCCTACTACAGCGTAAGCTCATGATGGCAGGGACCTTGTCTTTTTCACCTCTGTATCGCCAGTGCCTGTTTATAGTACTTGGCACATTGTTGTTAGGTGTCATAGAATCCGTTTTTGACTACTAGTGACCCCATGTGACAGAGTAGAAGTGCCCCATAGGATATTCTATCTGTAATCTTTATGGAAGCCAATCGCCAGATCTTCTATGGAGCGACTGGGTGGGTTCAAAACACCGCCTTTCAATTAGCAGCCAAGCTGCTTACTTGGCACATACACCAAAAATCAAACCCATTACCGTCAAGTCGATTCCGACCCATAGCAACTCTATAGGACAGAGTAGAACTGTCCCATAAGGTTTTCAAGGCTATAATCTTTACAGAAGCAAATTGTCACATCTTTCTCCTGAAGAGCAGCTGGTGGGTTCGAACCGCCAAATTTTGGTTAGCAGCTGAGCACTTAACCACTGAGCCACCAGGTTTCCTCCACTTGGCACGTTAAAAAAAAAAAACCATTGCCATCGAGTAGATTCTGACTCATAGCAACCCTGTAGGACAGAGTAGAACTTCCCTATAGGGTTTCTAAGGAGCAGTTGGTGGATTCAAATGACCGACGTTTTGGTTAGCAGCCAAGCTCTTAACCACTGCAACACCAGGGCTGCTCTTGGCACATAGTAGATGCTTAATAACTATCTGTTAAATAAGTGAATCTATGTAACAGTCTTAAGAAATAGAGTGATATTATCCCTTATTTACACGTAGTAAGATTTATAGTCAAAGAGGCTGCTTTGCCCAAAATCATACTGAAAGTGGTAGAATATAACCCAGTTTGTCTGACTCCTAGTCCAGTTGCTATATTTGCTATAGTGCAAAAATAGCCAGTAACTGTTGTTGTTGTTAGGTGCCGTCGAGTCAGTTCCAACTCATAGAGACTCTGTGTACAACAGAACGAAACGCTGCCCGGTCCTGTGCCATCCTCACAGTAGTTGTTATGCTTGAGCCCATTGTTGCAGCCACTGTGTCAGTCCATCTCGTTGAGGGTCTTCCTCTTTTTCACTGACCTTCTACTTTACCAAGCATGATGTCCTTCTCCAGGGACTTGTCCCTCCTTAACATGTCGGAAGTACATGAGACGAAGTCTCGCCATCCTTGCTGCTAAGGAGCATTCTGCCTGTACTTCTTCTAAGACAGATTTGTTTTTCTGATGGTCCATTGTATATTCAGTGTTCTTTGCCAACACCATAACTCAAAGGCATCAATTCTTCTTTGGTCTTCCTTATCCATTGTCCAGCTTTCACATGTGTATGAGACAATTGAAAATGCCATGACTTGGGTCAGGCGCAGCTTTGTCCTCAAAGTGACATCTTTGCTTTTCAACACTTTAAAGAGGTCTTTTGCTGCAGATTTTTCCAATGCAACACGTCCTTTGATTTCCTGACTGCAGCTCCCATGGGTGTTGATTGTGGATCCAAGAAAAATGAAATCCTTGACAACTTGGATATTTTCTCCATTTATCATGATGTTGCTTATTGGTCCAGTTGTGAGGACTTTTGTTTTCTAGCGAATAACTAAATCTAGGCAAAAAGCCACATTTCAAAGGTGGAATATCAAGAGGAGTCAGTGAGACAAATGGAGAACCTGTTTGTGAGAGGTAGGGAGGACACCAGGGAGTGTGGCATCATAAAAGACAAGGGAAAGGAGCTCACGGATAGTGTGATTATCAGCATGGAATTAATGCCACACAGATAGGACAGTGGAAAAGACGGCCGCTGCCATTGGATTCCATGTGACATCCTAGAAAGAGAACTGAGAAAAAGCTGTGATTGACAGTTCACTGGCAACCTTTGAGAATATAGTTACAGAGAAGTGGCAAGGAGTTAGAGTCAGTGAGTATATTTAAATCATTACAGAAATAGGTGCCTCAGTGTGATTGAGTTTAAAAAGAGTCAAAAGAGAGTTTACTAGGAAAGCTGTAAGAAACAACTTTTTTGGAGTACCAGTGAGAATTTGGCATAAATTAGTAGTATATTTTTTTAAAGTATATTAAAGAGGAAGACCCTCAACGAGATGGACTGACACAGTGGCTGCAACCATGGGCTCAAGCATAACAAATATTGTGAGGATGGCGCAGGACCGGGCAGAATTTCATTATGTTGTGCATAGGGTCTCTATGAGTTGGAATCGACTCGACGGCACCTAAAAACAACAATAACAGTATATGAGATCAAATTTTTTAATAATCTAATTTGTTGTTGAGAATATGCACAGCAAAAACCTATACCAATTCAAGTTCCTACATGTAGAATTCAGTGACATTGACTACATTCTTCAAATTGTACAACCATTCTCACCTCCTTTACCAAGTTGTTCCTCCCCCATTAACATAAACTCATTGCACCCTAAGGTGCCTATCTAATCTTTCAAGTTGCTGTTGTCAATTTGATCCCATATCAAAAAAACCAAACCCGTTGCTGTTGAGTCAATTGACTCATAGCAACCCTATAGGATAGAGTAGAACTGCCCCAACAGGTACTTCAAGGAGCGAACTGCTGACTTTTTGATTAACAGCCGAGCTTCTAACCACTGCTCCACCAGGGCTCAGGCAGACATTCTTTACTAGTTAAGAATAGTTTGGCTTTAAGAAGACTTCAGGGGATATTTTTTGTTTAAGGTTTAAAGATTATCTCAGGGCAGTAGTTTCAACCACCACTTATCTGTCAGTTTGTCATACTGTGGGGGCTTGCATATTGCTGTGGTGCTGGAAGCTATGCCATGAGTAGTATTTCAGATACCAATAGGAACACCCAGGTGGACAGATTTCAGTTGAACTTCCAGACTAAGACAGACTAGGAAGAAGGATCTGGCGATCTGCTTCTGAAAAAATTGGCCAGTGAAAACCTTATGGGTAGCAGTGGAACATTGTCTGATATAGTGCCAGAAGATGAGCCCCTTACGTTGGAAGGCACTCAGAATACGACTGCGGAAGAGCTGCCTCCTCAAAGTAGAGTCAACCTAAATGATGTCGATAGAGCAAAGCTTTGGGGACATTCATTTGCTGCTGTGCCATGACGCAAAATGAGAAGAAACAGCTGCAAATATCCATTAGTAACTTAAATGTGGAATATATGAAGTACGATTCGAGGAAATTGGAAGTTGTCAAAAATGAAATGGAACACATAAAGATCGATTTCCTAGGCATTAATGAGCTGAAATGGACTGGTATTGGCCATTTTGAATCAGACAATCATATGGTCTACTATACTTGGAATGACAAATTGAAGAGGAATGGTGTTGCATTCATTGTCAAAAAGAACATTTCAAGATCTATCCTGAAGTACAATGCTGTCAGTGATAAGATGATATCCACATGCCTGAAAAGAAAACCAGTTAATACAACTATTATTCAAATTTACACATGAGCCGCTAAGGCCAAAGATGAATAAACTAAAGATTTTTACCAACTTCTGCAGTCTGAAATTGATGAAACATGTAATCAAGATGCACTGATAATTACTGGTGATTGGAATACAAAAGATGAAAACAAAGAAGAAGAACCTGTGGTTGGAAAACATGGCCTTGGTGATAGAAATGTCCCAGGAGATCACGTAATGGAATGTTGCAAGACCAACGACTTCTTCATTGCAAATACCTTTCTTAAACAACGTAAACTGAAACTATACATGTGGACCTTGATGGATGGATACACAGGAATCAAATCAGCTACATCTGTGGAAAGGGACCATGGAGAACCTCAATATCATCAGCCAGAACAAGGCCAGGGGCCAACTGTGGAACAGACCAGAAATTGCTCATATGCAAGTTCAAGTTGAAGCTGAAGAAAATTAAAACAAGTCCCTGAAAGTCAAAGTACAACCTTGCGTATATCCTACCTGAATTTAGAAAGCATCGCAAGAACAGATTTGACGTATTGAACACTAACAACCGCATATCAGAAGAGTTGTGGGATGACAACAAGGACATCATACATGAACAAAGCAAAAGGTCATTAAAAAGACAGAAAAGAAAAATATCAAAATGGATGTCAGAAAAGATTCTGAAACTTGCTGTTGAACATAGAGTAGCTAAAGCAAACATGAAAAATGATGAAGTAAAAGAGCTGAACAGAAGATGTCAAAGAGCGGCTCATGAAGACAAAGTAAAGTATTACAATGAAATGTGCACAGATCTGGAGTTAGAAAACCAAAAAAGAAGAACATGCTCAGCATTTCTCAAGTTGGAAGAACTGAAGAAAAAATTCAAACCTCGGGTTGCAATATTGAAAGATTCAGGCACTCCTTGGAAACTCTGTGGGGCAGCTCTACTGTCCTATAGCATTGCTATGAGTCAGAATCAACTCACTGGCAACGGGTTTGGTTTTCTTTTTGATTTATAGGCAAAAAAATTGAATGACACAGGAGGCATCAAAAGAAGATGGAAGGAATACACAGAATCACTGTACCAAAAATAATTGGTTGACATTCAACCATTTCAGGAGGTAGCATATGATCAAGAACCAATGATACTGAAGGAAGAAGTTCAATTTGCACTGAAGGCATTGGCAAAAAAACAAGGCTCCAGGAATTGACAGAATACCATTTGAAATGTTTCAACAAATGGATGCAATGCTGGAAGCACTCACTCGTCTATGCCAAAAAATTTGTAAGACAGCTACCTGGCCAACAGACTAGAAGAGATACATATTTGTGCCCATTCTAAAGAAAGGTGATCCAACAGAATACAGAAATTATTGAACAATATCATTTATATCACACACAAGTAAAATTTTGCCAAAAATAATTCAAAAACGGTTGCAGCACTACATCAACAGGAGACTGCCAGAAATTTAAGCCAGATTCAGAAGAGAACATGGAACGAGGGATATCATTGCTGATGTCAGATGAATCTTGGCTGAAAAAGAGACTACCAGGAAGATGTTTGCCTGTGTTTTATTGACTATGCAAAGACATTCAACTGTGTGGATCATAGCAAATTATGGATAACATTTCGAAGAACAGCAATTCCAGAACACTTAATAGTGCTTATAAGGAACCTGTACATAGATCAAGAGGAAGTCGTTGGAACATAACAAGGGTATATACTGCATGGTTTAAAGTCAGGAAAGGTGTGCATCAGGGTTGTATCCTTTCGCCATGCTTATTCAATCTGTATGCTGAGCAAATAATCTGAGAAGGTGGACTATATGAAGAAGAACGAGACATCAGGATTGGAGGAAGACTCATTAACAAAGTGCGTTATGCAGATGATGCAACTTTGCTTGCTGAAGGTGAAGAGGACTTGAAGCACTTACTGATGAAGATCAAAGACTACAGCCTTCAGTATGAATTATACCTCAACATAAAGAAAACAAAAATCCTGACAACTGGACCAATAAGCAACATCATGATAAACGGATAAAAGATTGAAGTTGTCAAGGATTTCATTTTACTTGGATCCACAATCCACACCCATGGAAGTAGCAATCAGGACATCAAACGATGTATTGCATTGGGCAAATCTGCTGCAAAAGACCTCTTTAAAATGTTGAAAAGCAAGGACGTCATCTTGAGGACTAAGGTGCGCCTGACCCAAGCCATGGTATTTTCAGTCACCTCATATGCATGCAAAAGCTGGGCAGTAAGTAAGGAAGACAGAAGAATTGATGCATTTGAATTATGGTGTTGGCAAAGAATACTGAATATACCATGGACTGCCAGAAGAACAAACAAATCTGTCTTGGAAGTACAGCCAGAATGTTCCTTAGAAGCGAGGATGGTGAGACTTTTTCTCACGTACTTTGGACATGTTATCAGGAGAGACCAGTCCCTAGAGAAGGACACCATTCTTGGTAAAGTAGAGGGTCAGTGAAAAAGACGAAGACCCTCAATGAGATGGATTGACACAGTGGCTGCAACGATGGGCTCAAACATAGCAATGATTGTGAGGATGGCGCAGGACTGGGCAGTGTTTCATTCTTTTGTACATGGGGTTGCTATGAGTCAGAACCAACTCAACGGCACCTAACAACAACAATAGTTTTGGGAGTGATATCAACTTTTTTTTTTTAGCTAATTGTGAATATCAGTTGTTACAAAATTTCTATACCAAGAAATAATAAATTTGTAAATAAGAACTGCCATGAATTGTAAAACAGTGATACCCACAAAACGTAATGCTTTGAAACATGGAAAAATATAAAAATTAGAGGAATTGGGTTTTCCTTATTACCGCTTATGATTGTATTTGAATCTTTTCCAGCTGACTCTATTGGCGATCCATTTTTCCCCCGGACTACACAGATACTATTGGAATATCATCTAGGGAGATGGGTGCCACGTCTCCGTGAACCACGAGACCTCTATGGTGTCTCTTCTTCTGGCCCACTGAGCCCAACGCGGTGGCCATACCACTGTGAGGTCATTGATGAAAAAGTCCAGCATATTGGTATGTTCTTAGCAATTTTTGAGATTCAAACATTAGCAAGCTTACTTTGCCAACCTTGATTTTATTGAGGAGATTCAGGATGTTAAAATAGCACGTTCTAAGTAGAAATGTAACATGAGCCACATACGCAGTTTTAAGTTTTCCAGTAGCTACATTTAAAAAGCTAAAAAGAAACAGGTGGAATTCATTTAAAATTGTATTTTGTTTAATCCAGAATATCCAAACTATTTCGCCTTCTTTCTTTTCATACTAAGTCTTTGAAATCTGCTGTGCATTTATGCTTACAGACATCGCAATTCAGATCGGCCACAGTTCAAGTGCTTAGCTCTACATGTGCTTAAATAGAGGAGGACGTGCAGACCTTTAGTAATTCCAAACATTCCAAACAGCAGTGCTGTGCTCCATTCCCAGTCAAACTCCTGCGTCAGGTAAAGTCACAGACAGGTTCTGCCAGAATGGCTATGAGCTGTGCTCTTGCCCTTTTTCTTCTGTTTGAATCTTTGTTTAACCTTTGTGTGTCTTTTTACTTTTTCAATGTTTCCTTATTCTCTTTTGCGTCTTTCTTTCTCTCTCCCCTTTTCCATTTCTGTTCCTCAAATTTTCTATCACTTTTGCCCCTCTACTCAGTCTTCTCTCCTTCTCCACTTTTACTTCTTTTCTTTCATGGGCTTTTGTGGACTGAAGGTTTTAGGTGTTGTATGTGTGAGTTTAGCTTTGACTCTCCCAGTGTCTGACAGCCTCAGCCCCCCAGTCCACAGACAGGCATGAGGGAAACAGCCCACCCTCCACCTTCATCTTGCCCTCAGTTGTGTGTGTCACCGTCAGTGGCTCAGGGTGCAGAAAGTTCTCCCGTCCCCTCATGGTTACTTAGTAGATTCCCACTTGCGCTGCTGAGGTCCTTTCAAAGGAGAGCAGATGTGTTTCTGCTCTCTTATCTTGAAATTCCAAGTATATTTCCTCACCAAAGTATTGTTTTAAGAGTGATTAGATTTCCTGGCCCCCTATTTCAGATCTCTTGGGTGTTATCAAGCTTTGGGGCTCTGTGACCTGCCTAGGCCAAGTGAAGGGGGTGGCCATGCAGCGGGTGCAAATGCAGCCTCTCACAGCATGTCTCCCAGGTCCCCAGAGCTGTGAATGAAGTCAAAACGCTGCTGGTGACAGCCTGTGCAAGGAGGGCCTTGCTGGATGAAAGGCTCACTTTGCGCCATGCCATGGATCTTTTATTCACAATCCGTGTCCTTGAAACATCTGCAGGAATTCCTGGTTCTCAGTCCAACTGCAGCATCCGCCACATCCTCCTCGGAAGAATCAGATCTTGTTCCCAGGTGCCCCGATGGCTTTCTCCACTTTGCTAGCCAGCATCTCAGAAAATCCGTCTCCCGTAATCTAGCATGATGTCTTGGACCTTGCCGTCTTCCCCTTAACTATTGCAAAGCTTTCACAAATTCAGATATTTCAAAGGACTCAAAGCCCCACAGAACATTCTCGTGTACAACTTATTTCAAGGCAGAAGGTACAGTGCAGCAAGAGAAAGAGGCTTTGGGTAAGCATTGGGGTCTGTGCACGTTCTCCAGGGTCCTTACTCGCACGTGGACAGGCACGTCTTCAGGTTGAAATACCAAGATCTATGTGATGAATCTTAGCTTCCGATGACCTTGAGGCAAAAGTTCCAACCAGATTTGTATGCCCCTCTGGTCATGGAGTCAAGCCAGGCTAACTGGTTATACCCATGGAAAGCCGTCACCAAACAGACTGGCCCTGGGGGCAACCAGGGGAGTTTTGGACGTTAGAGAGCACATCATAAGTCTTACCATCCTTATCTTGGCCAATAGTCAGGCTTCCCAGGGATAAAGTTAGAGCTCTCCAATCCATCTATAAATTAACTCTGTGCTACTCAGCCATCTGTCTTGAAAGTCTTTCCCTATCAGCTCCTATCCACCAGTTTCTTTTTTCATAAACTGGTGCACTAGATTTCATTAAGTGGATGAACCATAATTTCTTTTAATTGCTACCCCATTAATGAATTTTAGATGTTTCCAATCTGGTTCTGACCAACAGTGCTGCATGGACAACCTTTTATGTGTGGCCTAATTAATGCACATATATAAATATATTTGGGGGATAAATTCCTAGAGGTTCTGGTTAAAAACGTATTGTCAAATTGCTCCTCAAAATAGTTGTAACGTTTTATAGTCATAAAAGCAATATATGAGAGTATCAATTTTCCCATAAGCTCCCTCATCGACAGTTTAATCACCTGTTCTGATCTTTACCAATCTGGTATGTTTTCATTTATATATGTTGTTGTTTAATTTATTATTTAAGACTGAGATTGAGCATCTTTATGTATATCTGTTGTCTGTTTCTGTATGAATTGTCTGATAAAATCCTATGCCCATTTTGCGGTTACGTTGTATTTTTTTAATTTGGTCTGTAAGTACTCTCTATATATTCAGTAAATTAGCTGACTGTGTTGCATATGTTGCTTTTTCCCCCCTTCGGTTTATCATTTTCTTTTCGTCTTTGTTATGCAGGAATTTTTAATTTTTATGTAATCATTTTTCTATCATTTCTTTTGTGGTTTCTGGGGTTGCAATTCTCACATTTTTTCTCAGCACTGGAACAGTTTTATTTTTGATGATTAAATTTTTGAGCCATCAGGAATCCGTTCTGATGCTAGAAGTGAGCTACCAATCCAGTTTTTTAACTAAATGTCTAGCCAGCTGTTCCAACAAATTTTATTAAATAAGTCATCTTTTGTCCACTGATTTGCAGTGCCGTATATATTACATACTAAACTCCTAGATCTAATTTTGGACTCTCTTCTATTCCATTAATATATCTCTTCATTTGCTAGCACCAAATTCTTTATACTATAGCTTTAAAACTATACTTTTGTTATCTGGCAGACTTAGTTCCCCGTCATTAACTTTTGTTTTCAGAATTTTCCTGGCTATTTTTTGCCTTATGGCGCAGTGGTTAAGAGCTTGGCTGCAAACCAAAAGGTCGGCAGTTTGAATCCACCAGCTACTCCTTGGAAACTCTACAGGGCAGTTCTACTCTGTCCTATAGGGTTGCTATGAGTCAGAATCCATGGCAATGGGTTTGGTTTTCCTGGGGTTTTTTTAATATGGACTTTAAAATAAGCTTTCCTAGTTCTCCTAAAATTAATATCGGTGACACAATTGTAATCACATTACATTTATAGATTAATATAAGGAAGATTGACATCTTTACAATATTGCATAAACCCATAGTGTCCTATGGGGACCTGTCCTATAGGGTCACTATGAGTCGGAATTGACTCAACAGCAACGGGTTTGGGTTTTTTTGGTTTATCCAAGAACAAGGTATGTCTCACTAGTTATTCTAGTTTTCCTTTATCTCCCTTAGTAGTGCTTTAATTTTTCTTCCTGTACCTTTTGTAAGTTTACTGTAGGTATTTTACTTATTTTCTTGCTATCTTAATGGCATCTGTTTTTCCTTTCATATAGCTTGTTTATGTAGAAGAAAGTTGTTGAGTTTCGTATATTAATTTTGAAATCGTTGTTATTAGTTGCCGTCGAGTTGATTCCAACTCATGGTGACCCCATGTGTGCAGAGTAGAACTGCTGCATAGGGTTTTCAAGGCTGTGAGCTTCAGAAGCAGATCGCCAGGCCTGTCTTCCAAGATGCCTCTGGGTGGTTCAAACTGCCACTTTTTCAGCTGGTGGTCGAGCGCCACCCAGTGACCACAAATTTTGAAAGTGCTTGTTGCCATCGAGTTGATTTCAACTGAAGTTGTTAGGTGCCTTCAAGTCGATTCTGACTCATAGCGACCCTATGTACAACAAAACAAACGCTGCCTGCTCCTGCGCCATCCTCACAATCCTTGTTATGCTTAACACTGTTGAACCACTGTGTCCATCCATCTCGTTGAGGGTCTTCCTCTTTTTCGATGACCCTCTACTTGACCAGCATGATGTCCTTCTCCAGGGACTGATCCCTTCAGATAACACGTCCGACGTATGTGAGATGAAGTCTCACCATCCTCACTTCTAAGGAGTATTCTGGCTGTCCTTCTTCCAAGACGGATTGGTTTGTTCTTCTGGCAGTCCAAGGTACATTCCATATTCTTCATCAATGCCATAAGTCAAAGGCATCAATTCTTCTTCAGCACTCCTTATTCATTGTCCAGCTTTCATATGCATATGAGGCGACTGAACACGTCAAGGCTTGGGTCAGATGCACCTTAGTCTTCAAGGAGACATCTTTTCTTTTTAACACTTTAAAGAGGTCCTTGCAGCAGATTTGCCCAATGCTATGCGTTGTTTGGTTTTTTGACTACTGCTTCCATGGGCATTGATTGTAGATCCAAGTAAAATTAAATCCTTGACAACTTCAATCTTTTCTCCTTTTATCATGATGTTGCTTATTGGTCCAGTTTTGAGGTTTTTTGTTGTTTTTTTTTTAATGTTGAGGTGTAATCCGTACTAAAGGCTGTGGTCTTTGATCTTCATCGGTAAGTGCTTCAGGTCCTCTTTGCTTTCAGCAAGCAAGGTGGTGTCATCTGCATATCACAGGTTGTTAATGAGTCTTCCTCCAATCCTAATGCTGCATTCTTCTTCAAATAGTCTAGCTTCTCGAATTATTTGCTCAACATACAGATTGAATAAGTATGGTGAAAGGATATAACCCCAACACACACCTTTCTTGATTTTAAACCATGCAAGATTCTCTTGTTCTGTTCGAACGACTCCCTCTTGGTCTAAATACAGGTTCCTCATGTAACCAAAAAACTCAAACCCTGTTGCCATCCAGTCGATTCTGACTCAGAGTGACCCTATAGGACAGAGTAGAACTGTCCCATAGGGTTTCCAAGGAGCAGCTGGTGGATTTGAACTGCCAACCTTTTGGTTAGCAGCCAAGCTCTTAACCATTGCACCAGCAGGGCTCCAGTTCCTCATGAGCAGTTAAATGTTCTGGAATTCCCATTCTTATCAATGTTATCCATAATTTGTTATGACCCACACAGTCAAATGCCTTTGCATAGTCAATAAAACACAGATAAACATCTTTCTGGTATTCTCTGTTTTCAGCCAGGATCCATCTGACATCAGCAACGATGTCCCTGGTTCCACGTCCTCTTCTGAGTCCGGCTTGAATTTCTGGCAGTTCCCTGTCAATGTAGTGCTGCAATTGCTTTTGAATGATCTTCAGCAAAATTTTACTTGTGTGTGATATTAATGATATTGTTCAATAATTTCTGTCCCATAGGTTTTCCAAGGAGTGGCTGGTGGATTCAAATTGCTGACCTTTTGGTTAGCAGCAATAGCTCTTAACCACTGCACTACCAGGGCTCCTAATTTTGAAACTAGCCACCTCTTATTGCTTCTAATTTTTAAATTCTTGTATGTGTTGTAGTGTACAGTTACATCATCTAGTAGTAATGTACTTGTGTCTTCTCATTTCTAATTTTTGTGCTTTATTTTTTTTTTTACTTAAGTGACTAGTACCTTAAGGAAATATTAAATGATAGTGGTAACTTCACCTTGCTGTCCCCCTTAATGGGAATGCTTTGTGTTTTCTCATTATGCAGATTGTTGGCTTTTGGTTTGAAATATATTTTCTTTTGATCCTATTAAGGAAGTATCCATTTAGTCTTATATAAATTAAGAGACTTTACCAGGAATAATTACTAACTTTTATTAAATGTCTTTTCAATATCTTTGGAGAGGAAGAATCATAATGTTGTTCTCATTTGACCTATTGTTTGGTGAATTAGCAGGTTTCTTAATATTGAACTAGCTGTATATTCCCAGAATGAACTGTACTAGTCACTGTATATTATTTTTAGTGTCACTGAATTCTGATTGGTAATATTTTATACAGAATTTTTGCTTTGATATTTATTGATTAGATATGTAATTTTCTAACTTTTGAACTTCTTCAGTTATTGTAAGTCTTATGCAGGGTTCCTTCTCTATGTTCCAGAACTGTTTAAATAATTCTGTAGTTAACTAGTCTTTTGAAGTTTGATAGAATTCCCCTAAAGCCATCTGTGTTTGTTATGGTTGTTTTAGAGAGGGAGAATATTGTTGCTTGAAAATATCTGTTTCTTCTTTGGTAGTGATCTAGTTTTTCTGCATTTTTGCCAGCATTTGGTGTTGTCAGTGCTTTTTATTTTAGCCATTTTGATCGGTGTGTAGTGGTGTCTCATTTTGGTTTTAACCTGCAATGCCCTAATTACATATGATGTTGAGCATCTTCTGATATGCTTGTTTATCATCTGTATATCTTCTTTGGTGAGGTGTCTGTTCAGACTTTTTGCCCATATTTTTAATCAGGTTGTTTGTTTTCAGAGTTCTTTGTATATCTTGGAAACAAGTTCTTTATCAGCCTTGCAAATATTTTTTCCTCAGTCTGTGGCTTATCTTTTCATTCTCTTAAAAGTACCTTTCACAGAGTAGAAGTTTTTAATTTTAATGAAGTCCATTTTTTTCTTTTATGGATTGTAGTTTTGGTGTTGTATCTAAAAATTCATTGCCAAACCCAAAATCACCTAGATTTTCTCCTGTGTTATCTTTTAGAAGTCAAATAATTTTATATTTAACATTTATATCTGTAATCCATTTTGAGTTAAATTTTGTGAAAGGTATAAGGTCTATGACTAGATTCTTCTCTCTTTTTTTTTTTTTTTTTTGGCCATGTGTTGACTATCTTTTCTTCATTGAATTGCCTTTACTCCTTTCTCAAAAATCGGTTGACTCTGTGTGGGTCTGGGCTCTCTGTCCTGTTCCATTGATCTATTTGTTCTTTCACCAATACCACACTCTCCTGATTACTAGCTTTACAGAAAGTCTTGAACTTGAGTAGTGTCAGTCTTCCAACTTTGTTCTTCTTCAGTCAGTTAAACCCAAAACAAAAACCCATTACAGTCTTTTAAATCAGTCCTGGAGCTGTTAATTTTTATTTTTTTCCTTCCATGAAAGGATGACAGACATAGTGCAAATTAATATATTTCACAGAGTTGGATTTACCATCATGAAGATACTTTCCAAAACATGCACTTATTAAATTTCTAAAAAAGCAATGTTCTGTTGTCATTACCAAGAACAGTAATATTTACAGATTGGAACTGAACACAAAGTGATCAAATGAAGGCAGATCTGGGAGGAGGGAGAAACGAAATACTGCACAAACAAAATACTTTAAAACAAAATACTTTCTATTCTTACAAGAGCTGTACTCTAAACTTTCTTTTGTTTAGGGTCCCAGCTTTAATTTAAGCTATTTTCGTCATGCCCAGGCCTGCAGGCTAAACTGGTGGTTTGGACTTCAAGAAGTCTTCTTTTGCATGAGAGTTGATTCTTTTTTTTTTTTTTCCTTAAAAGAAAATGAAGTGTGTGCTGTAGGGCAGAGGGCTGGATGTTGTCTCAGAGATTGGCCTCCCAGCTAAATCTCAGGCTTATGGAGAAAGACACTAAAGCCAAAGTAAAAAAACTTCACAAGGTGCTCAGTGAGACTTGGGGGTGATTTGGTGCTCATATCACATGGTAGAAGCCCTGACGACACAGTGGTTAAGAGCTCAGCTGCTCACCAAAAGATCGGCAGTTTGAATCCCCTGGGTGATCCTTGGAAACCCTGTGTGGCAGTTCTACTCTGTCCTATAGGGTCGCTATGAGCTGGAATCAGCTCAACAGGTTTGATTTGGTTTTATCACATGGTAAATGCTGAGTGAGTGCTTTGTTCTTCTGGGAACATGGCTTTGATCCGAGGAGAACTCAAAAGAATGCAGTACCATTTTGGTACCTCAAGAATTTGCAGCTTTGAGAGAACTGGAAAACAGCACATACATTATAAACAGGCATCTGAGTTCTCTTGCAACAGTGATAACCACCACCTTCAGGTAGTTTTTTGGACATCAGACATCAACATGGCTGGCAGGAGATTCTGATAATGGAAAGATTCTAAAGGAACTTGCCAGGCAACTTGACATAAAGACACCTGCAAAAGCTACCACTGGATAATAATCAAAAAGTGTCTATATCAGGAACCCATGTTGATGTTTAAGTCCATTACAGATGACATTCTTGAATGTGGATAATTTCTCAGAAAATCTGGGACTACTTTATTTCCAGCCCAGATACCTGCTTACCAATCCTAGCTCTAGAGCAGCTTTTTGCAATGAAGGGATTGCCAGACCTAAAGCATTTACGGCAATAACCAGTGTTTACATCATTTAAATGTAAGGAATATATGGACAAGATCCCCATCTGAGTTCATTTATTCATCCATCCATCCATCCATCCATCCATCCATCCATTCATCCATCCATCCATCCATCCAGTCTACCAGCATTTAACTGAGTGCCTACTCTGTGTCAAATACAATGCAAATAAGTTTTAGTGGGCATGGGACTTGGAAGAGCAAAAACTAGACTGAAGTGGGTTAAGACTGATTATCAGAGTATAGTCCTCAGTGAGGGTACTCCAGAAAAGCTGGCTGCAAAGTTGGCCTTTATGTACAAGTGCTTTCTCCAGTTCTTAAGATAGAGTTTCATGTTTCTTTACAATAAGGATTTTTTTTACTAATAATTACTGATTTAAACTTAAAGAAGAACATAAGCAGAGATTAATGAAGCCTCTAATTCTCTCTGAGAAGTCCAGCTGCTGTTTGACTTTTGACAACAAGCATGCACACAGGCAAATAAGCTAAAATTCCCAGTGTTCAGAATGAATGCTGTGTTATCAGTGTATTATTAACTTTACTTGAGTTGATTAAGGTTTTCAATGAATTAATGTCTCACTTTTTAATTATAATTTGCTGTTTGTTTAGCTTTGTTGTTATCTATTTAGTTGGTTTTAGGTTGTTCATTTAACCCTACAAAGTATAGTAATTCCTAGATGCATCAATATTCTAGTCTATGCTTTTTCTATAACTAGACTTGACCCCTATTCATTTTGGTTCACATACACTTCTATAGCTAAAGCATATGTATTCATAATCCCCAAAATGTTTGCTTATCCAGTAATACTTGTTTCTCATCACCAAATTATTGTTCCACTAAGAAGTGGCAACAACGAGGGTAGTTGAGCTATGAAGTCACGTGTTCCCATCAAATAGGTCATGGCCAAAAAGATTTGAGCAGTGGTGCAGACAACTTTCAAAAATATCATCCTAAAAAGAATGAAGAGAAGAGACACTAGTATTGCTAAAGAAGGTGGATCCTTCCTTTGGTGAGAAAGAAGAAACTTTAGCATGTTTACAAGCTTAGGGGACAACTATTATCAAGCATGAAGCTACAGAATTAGGGAAAGGAAGGATAAAGGTGGAGCAAAGATTCCACAGGTGGGACAAAAAGGCATTGAGAGCCCAGGAGAAATAGAAATTATAGTCTCAATTCTATAGTGAGTACAAAATAATCATGAACCAGTAGACATAATAATTTAGAACAAGGTGGAAATGAAATGTCCTGGATGTTGTTGCAATGTGACTAATGTTGATATTATTTCCAATGGACCCTTGGTAAAATCCAACCCAAGATAAACACTAAATTTCAGCGTAGGTCTACCAACGAATCATTAGCAAATATACAATAAAAATTTTCTGTTTTACTTTGAGAGCATATTCAAAATATGTTCTCTTTTCTTTCTTTCTTTCTTTTTTTTTTTTTCCTGGCAGATTGGACTCCTCCTTATCCTGAGCCAGTGTACACCCCCACAGGCCTGGAGACAGAACCTCTTTATCTAAGCTCCAAGGATGACATTGTGGTTTATCTAGCTGAAGATGGTGGGCACACAATGAGACATAATGCTGTAAAACCTAATTTAGTACCTGGGTTAATCTCTTAGTTATATTTGTTTTGCTCTTTCTAGTGGACATAAGTGTTTACTTTTATGAGTTTTAAAAAATATATACACTCATGTAACCAACACCCCTATCAAGATATGTAACTCTTTCATCACCCTAAAAAGTTCTCCTTACCTGCTTGTAGTCAATCTCCAGCCCCAGGCAACTACTGTTCTGATTTTTTATCACCATAAATTAATTTTGCCTGCTCTTCAGTTTCATATAAATGCAATCATGCAGTATGTACACTTTTATGTCTAGCTTCTTTGACTCAGCATAGTGTCTTTCAAATTCATACATGTGTGTATCAATAGTTGATTATTTTATATTGCTGAATAGTATTTCATTGTTAAGACTCTGTCACAGTTTATTTATGGACATTTGGATTATTCACAGTTTGGGGCTATTACAAATAAAATGATCATAAACTTTCATGTGCAAGTCCTTTGTGGAATATATGTTTTCATTTTTCTTGGCTAAATATGTAGTAGTAGAATTGCTAAGTTATAGGGTAAGTATATGTTTAGCATTCTAAGAATTATCTCAGAGTGTACCAAAGTAGTTGTACAATTTTATACTCCCACCAGCAGTGTATGAGAGTTCCAGTTGCTTCCTATTTTCTCCAGCTTTTGATATTGTCAGTGTTTTTAATTTTAATCACTCTAATGGGTATAAAGTGGAATCTTATCATAAGTTTAATTTGCATTTCTCTGATGACTAATGATGCCTTTTCATGTGTTTATTGGTCCTTCACATATCTTCTTTTGTGAAGTATGTGTTCAAATATTTTGCCCATATGTACCGAGTTGTCTTTTTATGACTGATATATATTCAAGATATAAATCTTTTGTCAAATATTTTATTGTGACTGTTTTCCTTCCATCTGTGGCAGGCCTTTTCATTTTCAGAACAGTGTCTTTTAATGAGTAAGACCTTTACATTTGATTAAGTCCCTTTCCAGTTGCTTTTCTTTCAAGTGTAATGCAGCCCGTGCCATTTTAAATAAATCTTTACCTTCCCCAAGATCACCTATGTATTCTTCCAGAAACTTTGTTGTTTCAGCTTTTACACTTAGGTCTGCATGCCATCTGGAGTCGTTTTTTGTGAATTGTTTAAGACAGGGACCAAGGTTCATTTTTTTCTCCAACACTTTGTACAATTGCCTAGCCACCTTTATTGAATGTCAGTTGACCCTTTATGTGTGAGTCTATTTCTAGACTCTTCATTCTGTTCCATTAATCTGTTTAATCTTATGCTAATACCACCATGTTGATTATTATACCCTTATACCTGCAGTCTACTTTGTCTGATATTAGTATAGCTACTTAAGCTTTCTTTTGATTCACCTTTCTGTTAAACATATGATCATGAATGTGCTGTTGCATATTTTTTGTCTTTCCCACTATACTAGTCATATTTATTTTAAATTTCCTATCTGATCAGTCTAATATCTTTATCATATTTAAAGCTGGTTGTACTGATGGCTCTGCCTTTTGACAGTGTGTTGGGGGAATTTTCCTCACTTTTTTGTATGCTTTGTAATTTTTTGTTGAAAACTGGACATCTTTTGTAGGTCGGTAGAGATATAGGCAGGGGCCTATCTGCAGAAAACAGCGCCTATAGCAATTAGTTTTAAATTGTTGAATGATCTCACAGCTGATGATGGGAACTGTGATGGCCAATAGAAACTACTCATTAGCACCCTCCTCAAGCAGCATGCCAGGCACACACCCTACCTGCCATACCTTATTTATGCCTTTGGACATAGGTAAATAGTTTTTATACCTGGAAATGGGCAAAACTTTCCAGGTGCTAGGCTTTTAGTTTGTGTATGAGTTAGGGGTGGAGAAGTTGATTCAATCTAGTTAGGAGTTGAGCTGCACAATGTAGATCTGTATAAATTAATGTCATTACTTTAAATCTTTCTATCTTTAATGGCACTTTAATTATACTTGTGCTGTAGTTCCAAACTGTATTCATAATAGTCTGTATACTTTAGATGTGGCTTGATACCTCTATGGTCTTCTCTCATCAGCTTACAAAGAGCCCTGTTTTGTGTATTCCCGAGTTGGGGGCAACCGAACACCCCTGAAGCAGCCCATGGATAACTGTGACAACACTTTGATGTTTGAAGCAAGGTTTGAGAGTGGTAATCTACAGAAGGTAGTCAAAGTGTAGGTTTTAATTGTTTTTATTTAAGAAGCTAGACTATCAACTAGCAGTTATTTTCTGTACACTGAAGTTCTTACTATACATAGCTGAACTGTAATTCCTTGAAATATAAATGTTAATGAGAGATTGTTGCAGGGATAGGAGGTGCAAAAAAAGGTTCTTAGTTCAAATAATTTTGAGAACTGTGAGTTTAATTTAAGCAGGTACTATATATTGCTAATATGCATTGTAACACACACACACACACACACACACACACACACAGTCCTTCTAAAACTTTTAATGGACTAGTTCTTGGGATGAGTGTTCCACAAAATATGCTTTAGGAACATGCTGCCCAAGGGCATTCTTCTTTTAAAAAGTTTATTTATTATTAAAAATTTAATAGATAAGTGGTATCTTGGGTGAAGGGTGAGACAGTACACCATACAGGAGAAACTAGCACAACTTGTACTAGGAAAGGTCATGGAAGCCCCACAGACACATCCAAACTCCCTGAGGGACTGAATTGCTGGGCGGAGGGCTCTGGGGACCATGGTGTCGGGAAACATCTAGCTCAACTGGCATGACACAGCTTATAAAGACAATGCTCTACATTCTACCTTGGTGAGTAGTGTCTGGGGTCTTAAAAGCCTGTGAGCGGCCATCTAAGATACTCCACTCGTCTCATCCCTTCGGGAGCAAGGGAGAATGAAGAGAACAGGATACAAGGAAAAGATTAGTCCAAAGGACTAATTGTCCACAGCTACCAAGGCCTCCACCAGACTGAGTCCAGTACAGCTAGATAGTGCCCGGCTACCACCACTGACTGCTCTGACCAGGATCACAACAGAGGGTTCTGGACAGAGCTGGAGAAGGATGTAGAGCATAATTCTAACTCACAAAAAAAGACCAGATTTACTGGCCTAAAGGAGACTGGAGAAACCCCGAGAGTATGGCCCCCAGACACCCTTTTAGCTCAGTGGTGAAGTTACCTCCGAGGTTCACAGTTCAGCCTGGGAGTGGACAGCCCCATAAAACCAAATGAGACTAACAAGGTACAGGAGTCCAATGACAAGGGTCAGAAGGCAGAAGGGGACAAGGAAGCTGGTGATAGGGAACCCAAGGTTGAGTAAGGATATTGTTGACGTGAGATTGTTAACCATTGTCATAGGGCAACATTTGTAGTAACTGTTAAATGAGAAACTATTTTGTTCTGTAAGCCTTCATCTTAAGTGAGAATAACAGCACAATTGGAAGAGCATAGTCAATGTCACTGAACTGTGTATGTAGAAATTTTTGAAATGGTGTATCTTTGGCTATGTGTATTTTCACCAAAAAAAAAAAAAGAGGTTGAGAAGTTAGAGGGTTGATATGTTGTGGGGTTGTTAACCAATGTTATAAAACAACATGTGTACTTCTGTTTCATGAGAAACTATTTGTTCTGTAAACCTTCACCTGAAGTACAATAAAAAAAAAAAAAAAACCTGAAAAAAAAATTTAAATATATGCTAAAGTAGAGAGAATACTACAACTCTATATTAACTATCATATAGCCATTACCTGGATTCAGCAGCTATCAAGATTTTGCAATGTTTATTTCATCTATTTCCAGGTCATTCTTTACAACTATACACACACGCATATACTAAGTGTATAGTGCTGATAGATTAGAAAGCTATTTGGTAAACAAAAAAGTCACAGCTAACCAGGTAAGATTACTATGTCTATAAGTACGATACCAATGAAATTATTTTTGCATTTATTTGAACATCTTCAATACAAACAGTTATCAAATACAGTCCTTGTCCACAAAGAGTTTAAATTTTTTTAATCTATGTGATCATATTCATGTATGTGTTTTAAAATATTTCTCAGTGATAGTTATCTTAGATCTCTACAATTAATCTCTAATAGAAAAGAGAAAAATATGTCTGGAGCAAAGAAACATTGGACTTTTGTTTTGTTTCAAGAATTCTTTGATCATTTCTTTTATAGGAAACATAATTGAGTTGAAATAATTTTTTATTAAATGCCCATGTTTTTATGTGTTCTCTTGAATTACAAAGGAATCCAAGGCTTTCTTTAGAATTAGCATAGAATTGGTTTCTCATCCAATAAAAGAATTTCAAAAGTTTATCTTTTGCAGTTACGTACTATTGGATACTGCTTAAACGAATGTGTCTTTTAAAAACTTTCTATGAACCGGTAAAAATAAAATATATTTCCTTATTTAATTTAAACCTGAATGTGTTCTTTACATTTTATGTGCTTGTTTCCTTTCTTTCTTATGTATTAGGGCAGAATATGAATACCAGTTGACTGTGCGCCCTGACCTCTTCACAAATAAACACACCCAGTGGTACTATTTCCAAGTCACTAATACCCAAGCAGGAATAGCCTACAGATTCACGATTGTCAACTTCACCAAGCCTGCTAGTCTCTACAATCGGGGTATGCGCCCGCTCTTCTATTCTGAAAAAGAAGCCAAGACTCATAATATTGGCTGGAAGAGGATAGGAGACCAAATCAAGTATTATAAGAACAATCTGGGGCAAGCTGGGCACCATTATTTCTCTCTTACATGGACATTTCAATTTCCACATGACAAAGATACCTGCTACTTTGCTCACTGTTATCCATATACTTACACCAACCTGCAAGATTACCTTTCTGGCATCAATAATGACCCAGTGCGATCAAAGTTTTGTAAAATCCGTGTCTTGTGCCATACGCTTGCCAGGAACATGGTATATGTTTTAACGATCACCACCCCCTTAAAGAACACTGAGCCGAGAAAACGCAAGGCCGTGATTTTGACCGCAAGAGTACATCCTGGAGAAACAAACAGCTCGTGGATCATGAAAGGCTTCCTAGATTATATTTTAGGAGACTCAAGTGATGCACAGTTGCTCCGGGACACTTTTATCTTCAAGGTGGTACCCATGCTGAATCCAGATGGTGTGATTGTGGGAAATTATCGGTGTTCCTTAGCTGGACGGGATTTAAACCGTAGCTATACATCTGTCCTAAAGGAATCTTTTCCTTCTGTTTGGTATACCCGGAACATGATCCGTAGGTAAAATAAGCCTCAAGTTACCTCCCTGCTTATTTAGTAAACTTGGTAGTAAGAATTTTGATCCCATAATCCCATTCCTTGAACTCTAGCTGTTCTTAAGAGAGAGTTTAACTATAGCTACTTTATTTTCCCCTCTACTCTCCCCAGCTCTGATTCCACAGCCTTCTGACATTATGCCGCTGGATTCACTAGCCTTCCTTTAAGCAACGAGACAGAATCTAGAATGTTTTGATGGTTTGAAACTAATGGATAAACTTGCATATCCCGAATTTGATATCTTGCTAAAGCTAATGTTAGGCCCTTGGGACCCTTGAATCCAATACATGTGAAAATGAGTTCTGCCTCACAGGAGCCTCTAGCACTGTTGATCATACATTGCTCTAGGAGTCTTTTGATTATTAGATTATATAGTTTATTTTATGAATATAGGTCTTATTTCCCCCTGGAAAATTTTGAATTGAACAGCTTTAAATTTTCCAAAGAATCTAGAACAGTAAAATGCACATAATATTTCAATATATTTTGAATGACTGTGTGAATTCCTTGATAGGTTTAGGTCATGACACTCTGGGATATGTCTGTGCTACAATAGAAAGACCTTCTGGAGTCAGGATGCCCATTCCAAGTTCAAAGCCTCTTAAGTTTTATGGTGGTTTATGGATTGGGCATGGACTCTGGAGTAAGTATATCAGATTGAAATCCCTCCTGTATCATTTACTAACTGTGTGACTTCAAGCGATTGAAAACCAATTTAAGTCTCAGTTTTGTCACCTGTAAAATGGGAATGATAATACCTACCTCACAGAAGGGAGGATTAAATGACAAAAATATTAAAGTGCCCAGAATAGGAGCTGGAACATTGAAAGCCCTAAATACACTCAGTGTGTTTCCTCAATGTAAAAAGAGAAAAAATAACATTAATTGGATTAGATATAGATATGAAAAATCTTTGTAAACTTTTTAGGATTATTCCAGTGTCACCCAGCTTTGGTATGAGGGCTCCCAGGGCAAGCCCAAGAGCCCTGTCTCAAGGCTGAGGACCCCAGGATACTTCCAGTCCCTCAGAGGAGCCATGGAGAGGCTTCTGGAGCACCTGGCATGGGTCTGATTATTTTAGGCTGTTCAGCCTCAACACTCACTTTCATGCTAATCCTTTTGTCTGCTTAGAAACATAGGGCATGAAGTGCAGATCCCCATGAGAGGGACTGAATCCTGGTTTTGTATCCATCATAAATGTGGTGCATTTATGATGTAACATCTGGGAAATGTTTAAGTGAGAAAAGAAAAACCCATGACCTCCTTCTTCTGTTGGGGATGGGAAAATTAAAAAAGGAACTGACTCAATGCACTGTGATATCTGGGATTGAATTCTGGGCTAGAAAAAGGACATTAGTGAAATCCAAATAAAGATGGGAGTTCAGTTAATAGTAATGTACCAATATTGGTTTCATAGTTTTTGACAGTGTATCGTGGGTATGTAATATGTTAACAGGAGAATTTGAGTGAGTGGTATACCGCAACTCTCTGTTCTATTTTTGCACTTTAATGTTAATCTAAAATTATTCCAAAATAAAGAGGTTTTTTTTTTTTTTTTTTTTCCCATAAAAGAGCTGGTGGGATGCCCATTAGAGGATGTATAATGTCTTCCTAAGACTCTTGGACATTGAGAGTCCTTGGTCTAACCAAGGTGGACTATAGGCCAAGGCCCCTTGGCTTGTCTGTATGGAAATTATTTGTTGTTGTTGTTAGGTGCCATCAAGTCAGTTCCGACTCATAGCAACCCCATATACAACAGAACAAAACACTGCCCGGTCCTGCGCCATCCTCACAATCATTGCTGTACTTGAGCCCTTTGTTGCCGCCACTGTGTCAATCCATCTCAGTGAGGTCTTCCTCTATTTTCCTGACCCTCTACTTTACCAAAATGATGTCCTTATCAGGGACTGATCCCTCCTGACAACAAGTCCAAAGTGTGTGAGACGTAGTCTCGCCATCCTTGCTTCTAAGGATCATTCTGGTTGTACTTCTTCCAAGGCAGATTTGTTCGTTCTTTTGGTAGTGCATGGTATATTCAATATTCTTCTCCAGCACCATAATTCAAAGCTGTCAATTCTTCTTCCATGTTCCTTATTCATCATCCATTTCACATGCATGTGAGGTGATTGAAACTACCATGGCTTGGGTGAGATGAACCTTAGTCTTCAAGGTGACATCTTTGATTTTCAACACTTCAAGAGGTCTTTTGCAGCAAATTTGCCGAGTGCAATGCGTTGTTTGATTTCTTGACCACTGCTTCCATTGTTGTTGATTGTGGATCCAAGTAAAATGAAATCCTTGACAACTTCAATCTTTTCTCTGTTTATCTCATGATGTTGCTTATTGGTCCAGTTGTGAGGATTTTTGTTTTCTTTATGTTGAGGTGTAATCCATACTGAAGGCTGTGGTCTTTTATATTCATCAGTAAGTGCTTCAAGTCCTCTTCACTTTCAGCAAGAAAAGTTGTCATCTGTATAACGCAGGTTGTTAATGAGTCTTCCTCCAATCCTGATGCCCCATTCTTCTTCATACAGTCCAGCTTCTCAGATTATTTGCTCAGCGTACAGATTGAATATGTATGGTGAAAGGATACAACCCTGATGCACAACTTTCCTGACTTTAAACCACGCAGTATTCCCTTGTTCTGTTCGATTGACTGCCTCTTAGTCTACATACAGGATCCTCCTGAGCACAATTAAGTGTTCTAGAATTCCCATTCTTTGCAATGTTACCCATAATTTGTTATGATCCACACAGTCAAATGCCTTTGCAGAGTCAATAAAACACAGGTAAACATCTTTCTGGTATTCTCTGCTTTCAGCCAGGATCCATCTGACATCAGCAATGAGAGCCTTCATTCCATGTCCTCTTCTGAATCCAGTTTGAATTTCTGGCAGTTCCCTGTCAATATACTGCTGCAGCCACTTTTGGATGATCTTCAGCAAAGTGTTACTTGCATGTGATATTAATGATATTATTAAATAATTTCCACATTCAGTTGGATCACCTTTCTTGGGAATAGGCATAAATATAGATCTCTTCCATTTGGTTGACCAGGTAAGTGTCTTCCAAATTTTTTGGCATAGATGAGTGAGCACTTCCAACACTGTATCTGTTTGTTGAAACATCTCAATTGGTATTCCATCAATTCCTGGAGCCTTGTTTTCACTGATGCCTTCAGTGCAGCTTGGACTTATTCCTTCAGCACCATTGGTTCCTGATCACATGCTACCTCCTAAAATGGTTGAATGTTGACCAATTGTTTTAGGTATAGTAACTCTGTGTATTCCTTCCATCTTTTTTTGATGCTTCCTGCATCGTTTCATATTTTCTCGGTAGAATCCTTCACTATTGCAACTCGAGGCTTGAATTGTTTATTCAGTTCTTTCAGCTTGAGAAGTGCTGAGCATGTTCTTCCCTTTCTATCTCCAGCTCTTCGCACTTGTCATTATAATACTTTACTTTGTCTTCTCAAGCCATCCTTTGAAATCTGTTCATTTTGTTTACTTCATCATTTCTTCCTTTGCTTTAGCTACTGGATGTTCAAAAGCAAGTTTCAGAGTCTCTTCTGACATCTCTTTTGGTCTTTTCTTTCGTTCCTATTTTTTAATGACCTCTTGCTTTCTTCATATAAGATGTCCTTGATGTCATTCCACAAGTTGTCTGGACTTCGGTCGTTAGTGTTCAGCACATCAAATCTATTCTTGAGATGATCTCTAAATTCAGGTGGTATATACTCAAGGTCATACTTTAGCTGTCGTAGACTTGTTCTAATTTTCTTCAGTTTCAACTTGAACTTGCACATGAGCAATTGATGGTCTGTTCCACAGTTGGCCCCTGGCCTTGTTCTGACTGATGATGTTGAGCTTTTCAATAGTCCAGACTAAGACAGACTAGGAAGAAGGACCTAGCAATCTACTTCTGGAAACAATTAGCCAGTGAAAACCTTATGAATAGCAGCAGAACATTGTCTGATATAGTGCCAGAAGGTGAGCTCTTCTGGTTGGAAGGCACACAAAATACAGCTGGGGAAGAGCTGCCACCTCAAAGTAGAGTCAACCTTAACGATGCGGATAGAGGTAAGCTTTTGGGACGTTCATTTGCTGATATGGCACAACTCAAAATGAGAAGAAACAGCTGCAAACATCCATTAATAATTGGGACGTGGAACGTACGAAGTATGAATCCAGGAAAATTGGAAACCATCAAAAATGAAATGGAATGCATAAACATCAATATCCTAGGCATTAGTGAGCTGAAATGGATTGGTATTGGCCATTTTCAATTGGACAATCATATGGTCTGCTATACCGGGAATGACAACTTCAAGAGGAATGGCATTGCAGTCATCGTCAAAAAGAACATTTCAAGATCTATCCTGAAGTACAACACTGTCAGTGATAGGATAACATCCCCATGCCTACAAGGAAGACCAGTTAATATGACTATTATCCAAATTTATGAACCAACCACTAAGGCCAAAGACGAAGAAATTGAATATTTTTACCAATTTCTGCAGTCTGAAATTGATCGAGCATGCAATCAGGATGCATTGATAATTACTGGTGATTGGAATGTGAAAGTTGGAAACAAAGAATAAGGATCGGTGGTTTGAAAATATGGCCTTGGGATAGAAACAATGCCGGAGATCGCATGATAGAATTTTGCAAGACCAACAACTTCTTCATAGCAAAACATTTTTTCATCAACATAAATGGCGACTATACAAATGGACCTCACCAGATGGAATACACAGGAATCAAATCGACTATATCTGTGGAAAGAGACAATGGAAATTATTTATCATGTCTCAATTCTTTTTGGGTTACCTTGTGAGAAGATTAAGGCAACAGTATACTCAGTAAGTTTCAGAAAGACTTCCAAGAAAGAGAAAAACCTCAATGCAATTAATAGTAGGCAGGTAAGTAGAATAAGAGGTCACATATATGTGGAAAGGTGAACATCTGTAAGTATATCTACAACTGAGTATATATAAAATACAGGTAGTCCCCGACTTATGACGTATTTGAGTTATGACAAACTGCACTTATGACCATCTTTTTTTGTACATCTTATCGTAGGTAATATGTACTACATACAGTGTTGCAGCAATAATTTGCTGATGTTATCATTCTCAGATGTTCACTCGCAGATGTTCAAAGATCAGATTTATAAAGATACTGACAGTAAAAGGTAATAATGATGAAAAAAAAAGGAGGTATTCGACTTCCATCAGAACCAGCTTACAAAGGAGTCGCCAGAACAGAACCCCGTCGTAAGTCAGGGACTACCTGTATACAAGAGTAAGAGAGTAGATCTTAGTATAAGATACTTAAAGTATCAGAAGTAAATAAATACTTCAGAACTTAGAAGTAGAAATTTCTTTTGATTCACTTATAAGAAATTGGAACATCATTAAAAAGAGGAATTTTTTGTTTAAAAATGTGCAGTATGTTTCATATTTAAGGAACCCTGGTGGCACAGTGATTAAGTACTTGGCTGCTAACCAAAAGATTGGCAGTTTGAACCCACCAGCAGCTCCACAGGAAAAAAGACCTGGCGATCTGCTCCCAAAAAGATTCCAAAAAATTTTAAAAAACGAACCTCTGCTGTTGAGTCAATTCCAACTCATAGTGACCCTGTAGGACAGAGTAGAACTGCCCCCGTATTGTTTCCAAGGCTGTAAATCTTTATGGAAGCAGACTGACACATCTTTCTCCAACGGAGCAGCTGGTGGCTGCCGACATTTTATTTAGCAACCAAGGGCTTAACCACGGTGCCACCAGGCCTCCCCTTAAAGATTACAGCCTAGGAAACCCTATGGGGAAGTTCTGTTCTGTCCTACAGGGTCACTGAATCGGAATCAACTCAGCAGCAATGAGTTTTTTATGTTTCATATTTAAGGGCTTCACTTGATATTCATGTTTATAACCTAGTTTTCTAAAAACTTATAACTATCACTTAGTGGCTTTATGTCAGTTTTATGTTATCAGTTACAATGTATTGAGCACCAAGTGAGAACAGGGCAATAAATTAACGCATGTAGCTGATTTCAGTTTGGCATTTCACTATAATTTAAAATACTATTGTTTCTGACAGAAGCTATACTTTGAATCCTTTGGTTTTAGGTTTTAATAGTTTTGTTATAAAAGTAATCCATCTTATATTACTATAAATACCACTGATAACATTTTGGTATATATCCTTCCATATATAACAAATAATAAATGTAATTTTAATTATTTACATAATATAGTTATATTGCTATATAGTTTGGAAATATGAAAAAAAAGACAAAAATGCCCATAATCCCACCGCCTTACTACCACTATCACCTGTTTATCTTTTGAAAGCCTCCTGTATTAGTCATTCTCATCAACCAGTTTTTTGGCTTATTTTTGATGGTTGTAATATTCATTGAGTGCCTAAATTATACAGGCTAAGTGTTGCGCTCTTAAGAAATGTGTAAATAGCAAAAAGATGGAAACAACCTAGATGCCCATCAACAGATAAATGGAGAAACAAGCTATGGTACATACACACACACTGGAGTATTACACAACAATAAAGAACAATGATAAATCTGCGAAGCATCTCATAACGTGGATGAAATTGGACGATATTATGCCGAGTGAAATAAGTCAATCACCAGAGGACAAATACTGTATGAGACCACTACAGTAAAAACTCATGTAAAAGTTTACACACAAAAAGAAACAATCTTTGATGCCTATGAGGGATGGGTGGGTGGGGGGGAATAATAAATAGACAATAGATAAGTAATAACTTTGGTGAAGGGCAAGACAGTACACAATACTGGGGAAGCCAGCACAACATGTACAAGGAAAGGTCACAGAAACTCCATAGGCACATCCAAACTCCCTGAGGAACTAAATTGCTGTGCAGAGGGCTGTGGGAACCATGGTCTCGGGAACATCTAGCTCAATTGGCATAACATAGTTTATAAAGACATTGTTCTACCTTCTACCTTGGTGAGTATCATCTGGGGTCTTAAAAACCTGTGAGCAGCCATCTAAGATACTCCACTGGTCTCACCCCTTCGGGAGCAAGGGAGAATGAAGAAAACAAGATACAAGGGAAAGATTAGTCCAAAAGACTAATGGACCACAACTACCACAGCCTCCACCAGACTGAGTCCAATACAACTAGATGGTACCCTGCTACTATCACTGACTGCTCTGACAGGGATCACAAGAGAAAGCCCTGGACAGAGCTGGAAAAAAATGTAGAACAAAATTCTAACTCACAAAAAAAGACCAGACTTACTGGCCTGACAAAGACTGGAGAAACCCCAAGAGTATGGCCCCCGGACACCCTGTTAGCTCAGTAATGAAGTCACTCCTGAGGTTCATTCTTCAGCCAAAGATCAGACAGGCCCATAAAGCAAAATGAGACTAATGGGCACAACAGCCCAGGGACAAGGACTAGAAGGCAGGAGGGGACAGGAAAGCTGGTAATAGGGAACCCAAGGTCGAGAAGGGAGAGTGTTGACATGTTGTGGGGTTGTTAACCAATGTCATAAAACAATATGTGTACTAAGTGTTTAATGAGAAATTTCTTGTTCTGTAAACCTTCATCTAAAGTACAATAAAAAAAAAAGCAATACCACTTACAGTAGCCCCCAAAATGATAAAATACCGAGGAATAGACCTAATCACAGATATTAAAAAAAAAAAAGTGTAATAATTTCTTTAAAATATGTATTAGCCAAAAGGTCAACAGTTACTGTAAAGCAAAGATGAGAAGATAAGGGGGCAGGGAAACTAAAGCATTGGAAATGGAACAACCAGAATGCAATTAAAGAGAACACTGACACGTTGTGAAAACTGTAACTAATGTCGCTGAACAATTTGTATAGAAATTGTCATATGGGAACCTAATTTGCTGTGTAAATTTTCACCAAAAACACAGTAAAATATTATTTTAAAATGTATATATTTATTAGAATTTTACCAGGGGAAAAAAAATCAATTTAAGCTTTGGTACCATTCTTCTCAAAATGATACTTAGTTGCCACTTTAATCAAAGGTTAGATACTAACTGGCTTCAGCACCAAGTCATCAACTTTTTAATTATTCAACAAATATCAAGATACTTATTATGGGCCTAGCACTATTCTAGATGATTTGAAGCATTCCTCACCCTTTACAAGCTTAAATACCAAAAATATGAAAACTTGCACAGGCAAGTGTCAAGTAAATAGAACCAGTATTAAGTGCTGCAAGAGTTCAAAGTGAGAAAAATCTATGGGCTTGACTAGTTTGAGAGGAAGTGAGACTTGAGGTCAGTCTTGAAGGATGGGTTGAGGGGATAGTATTTGCAGATACAGAGATGAAGAGAGAAGATATTCCAGTCAGAAAGTAGAATCTATTTGAGAGATTCTGCTTTGTAATGGGCAAAGACCAAAGTGAACTCTTTTCTGTGTACAACAGAAAACCAGATAATAAAGCAGAGGGATCCTGGTAGAAGAAGTCTTGGAGTAAAGTTAAAAGGTATATTTGGGCTTTACCACAGAAGGCTAGAACATTTAGGCTTTACCTATAGTCGATAGGAATTTGTTGCAGATTTTTTAAAATTGTATATTAGTAATAACATGCAGTATAGATGAGAAGAGGGAGAAATGGAATGCTAAGATATAAGAAATTCTATTTCTTTGAATATTACACTTGTAAAAGCATAGTTGCACTCATAGAAGTAAAACACAGAGGCAAAATTTAGTAACTTGCTCTTTTTCTTCTCGGTAGATTGATGGAGAAACGAGAGGTTATTTTATACTGTGACCTGCATGGCCATAGTAGGAAAGAGAACATCTTCATGTACGGCTGTGATGGTAGTGACCGATCGAAAGCGTTGTATTTACAGCAACGAATCTTTCCACTTATGCTGAGCAAAAATTGTCCAGATAAAGTAAGCACCTTTTAAGATTTTAACTTGTCCTTTACTAAATGTTGTCCCTGTGGGGCAGTGGAATGGATGATCCTATTAAGCAAATTGCTTTTTTATTTAGATATTTTGAGTGCTTTATACAATTAATCATAAGAAAGCAATTATGTGGAATGTTTAGTAGGATTTTATGAAATAACCAATATTTCAAAAATCAAAATTAGAATGAGAAATGAATAAGATGTATTGTTATTTTTCACAGAGTGTAGAAATGTTGGCGTCACTTATTTACCATAATGTGAAAACTACTTTAGTCATTCTTTGGAAAAAATACCTAAAGATTTTAACATAGCACAGATAACTCCTTGAAACTTCCCCTTAAGTTATCTATCAGCCAATTCGCTTATAAAGGACTTGTTGGGAGATATCAATTGTCCTCTGGGGATGATTGGGAGCCCTGGTGGCACAGTGGTAAAGAGCTCGGCTGCTAACTATAAGATAGGCAATTCAAATCCACCAGTCATTCCTTGGAAACCCTATGGGGCAGTTCTACTCTGTCCTATAGGGTTGGCATGAATCAGAATTGACTCGACGGCAATGATTTTATTTGTTTGTTTGTTTGGAAATAATTGAGACTCAATGACATAAAAAGGAAAGGATGAGCTTGTAAGAATAACTATTTACAAAAAAGCACAGGTTTGTTGCCCAGATAGGACCCATCCTCTCAGAAAACCGGACTGGAAAGAGCAGCCCCATTCCTGAAGCTATTCCTATAAAGTTTACACTGTCAGTGCCCTTAAATATAGTTTATTACTTCTATAAAATGATCCCCTGTTACTAAAATATTTTAACATTGGTGCCATTGGCATAATTCTTAGGCTCTTAGATCTCTAACCTTTTGTGGTCTTAGATAAAATGGACCAATTTCTCAAAAACCACAAGGAACTGGCATGCAATTAAAACAGGTCTTCCACAGATTATAAAGGCTGCTTAAAGATACAGAGACTTCTATTTCTAGGTTTTCTCGTAAGTCTTTCCTACCAAAATCTCTGTGAAAATACACAATTATAATTGGAGACTTCAGATTCCTCTCACAGTAATCTACTAATAGTAGACATTAAGCAAGGATATATCCCTATATAAACTGGACTTCATCAAAATTAAAATCTTTTGCTCTTTAAAAGATCTTGTTAAGAGAATACAAAGACAAGCTACATATTAGAAGAAAATATTTGCAATTCCATATCTGACAACTTGTATCCAGAATAACTGAAAGTAACAAAACAAACAACCCAATTAAAAAATGGTCAGTAGTCTTGAATGCACACTTCATCAAAGAGGATATGTGATGACAAATAAGTACATTAAAAAAATTTAACATCATTAACCATTAGGAAATACAAATTAAAAATATGAGATATACCGCACACATATTAGGATGGCTAAATTAAAAAATACTGACAATTGCAAGTGCTATCAAGGATATGGAACAACTGAAACTCATACATGGCTGGTGGGATTACAAAATGGCAGAGCCACTCTGGAAGATAGTTTGGCAATTTTTTATAACATGTTCTAGAGAAAAGACACTCCAACTCTGTTAAAGTAAAATCGAAAGAGATTTATTGAAGCCAGGATACAATTGCAATGGGACATCGCAAAATCTCAGGCTAAAACTCATGGATCTCAGTGGAAAACAGGGAAGTTAGAAGTAATTATAGTGCTGAAGGGGGAAAATAAAAGTACAATATTTCTGATTGGTTTACAGTAATTAAGGTCAGTCAAAGGTGGGACAAAGTAAAGCATAATTTTTAACATTATTGGTTACATGAATACATTGATTGGCTAAAGGACATAATTGAAAGACATGGGATCAGGAGGGGGTTTCATGTTGGTTACAAAGCAGTGACATGACAGATATTTTCAGGAGTAGTTTGTTAACAATTACCTTGTTCAGAGCATTAGATCTCCAGAGGAGAATGGAAACAAAGAGTTTCCATGATGTATTACTTTTCCCTATGCATCAGAAAATTTGAGGAGACTGAGATCAAAACTTTCTATGAGGTGTTCACATTCTTTAGCCTAACCACAAAGAAACTCATTTCCTTAACGATAATAAGGGTTGGTTCCTAGGCAACAGAGGTAGAATCTGGGGGAAGGGTTCATGGAGCTTCTAGGCAGCCGTTAAAATCTAGGTGAAAGGTTATAGAGAGCCCTTAGAGTTAGCTTAGTCATTTTAGAAATAGGCCAGTTGCCCCTGTTTTAATTCTATATGCCTTATCTTTCCCTTCATTTGAGCAAGGATTTAGAAGAACATCCTTTGATCAACTTAAGAATCAGTTTCTTCTGCATGTACTTGACTTCAAATTATCATGGCTTTTACTACTCCTTAATGGTCACTTGAACCAGCAAGCATTTAAGACCCCAGATGTCACAAGATAGAAGTGGCCAGGCACCACTACATATTTTTACGTTGCTATAGGGGGGTTCTCATCTTCAGGGTGAACTGATCTCACGTCACCCACAAAACAGTAACTCATCTTCTGTGAGGTTTTTCTGGAAGTTGGGAAGCTTCAATCTTTTTCACCATGCTATTGCTGAGCAGTCATCCTCAGTGATCTTAGTGTAAGGAATGTATAGGGTGCGGCCAAATTTGAGGAACAGCCTGACCTACCATCAAATGACTAATCTAAGTCATGAAGCTTCTCTAGTTTGGGTTCTCAAATGCATTGTTGATATACATAATTCTCTGAGCATGAGATGAAGTGGGGTTTCCAGTTCTTATAGTAGATGTGCATCTTATAACACATTTTATGATTCCAGTAATAAGAACTATTATTATTAATATGATTAACCCAATTTGCAACAGAGATAGTAACCAAAAACATACACTATTGGGTAGTCCACTGAAGATATTAAAAAAAGAATGGTTAAGTCATAGAGGATATAGAATATAACCAGACAGCTTTTTGATGGATCTTAGCAATACCCTGTTTAACTTCTCCAGTGGTGTTAATCCAAGAGCAACATGAAATGTTGCCAATGGCACATACTCCTCCTTCTTGAGCTAAAAGGAAGTCCAGAGCTATTCTATTGTCCACTACTACCTTTACCAAGAATTCTAAAGATTTTTTGTTGTGCAGCTCTTCTATTGGCCACATCATCAGCAATTTGAGCCATAGTGGCACATAGATTGCAAATGGACAGTTCTAATTGCACAATCCCAAACCATGGCACAGTAGTGTGTAAAAAGGACCATCAACCTCCCAGGGAAACAGCTATGGGGATTATTCAAGAGGACAAGTTCTCTCTTCTGTATGGATATTAGTTTTAAATCACTGTTCCACAGTGCACTGTCACTGTATGAATGGATACCATGGGAACTCCTAGGGTCCCCAGAGTACGTTGGCTTAGCATATTCCAACCATCTAAACATGGCAAATTCAAGTATAGGGTGAATCATCTGACTTATTCCTGAAGCTTACTGATCCCCCACATAGGAAGACATATCAGATGGGGCACATAACGTACCTGCCCCAGTTTAAATATTAGGAAATGAGATGGACTGGTTGGCCCTATCAAGGCAGTTTGCAGTTAATGAGTCATTACAAATGGATAATCCTCCAAAGTCTTGTGGATCCAAGCACTGGGCACAAACCAGGAGATTTGGATTATTTTTAAGACGGTTATCTGCTACTGTGGGATAATACCAAGCATCGTTCATTTAAAAATTGCATGGAGTGGATGGAATAAAGCATTTTAACTATCCAGGGGTAATATTGAAACAGGGAGCTGATTGATAAGTTGACAATTCTGGAGGTAGCCATAATTTGACATGAATAGCCCACTTAGTCTTTCAAAATCAATAGTACAATTAGGTGTGAGCTTATAATCTAAGACTGGTACAGTGAAAGGATCAGTATGATCCTGTGTAGACTGAGGGGAAGAATGACATATCCAGCATTAGTTAAATTGCTAGCACTGACTACTGATTGAGTTAATTTGATAAAAGTATTTTCTTGCCAAGCAATAGAAAAAGGAGAAAATAATGGGATCAATACAATAATAGTGATCATAATTAAAACACAAAGACTAAGAAAAATAATACCCTAAACATCCAAAAATAAAAATAATAAGTATACCCGTAATTACTAGACAAAATCCAAGTATTTTAGGGGTTGCATAAATGTTTACCAAAAACCAATCCTAAGTGTATATTGTAAATACAAAATGGCTAAAGATAAAAGTATAGCTAGCAATATAGCACAAAGTTCAAATACTTCAGCTACTTGCATAATCTTGTTCCGTGATCTTGGGTAGGTGGTTCACTCTTGTCATTTGCTTTTCATCCGGGACTCTGCTTAAACTTTAAGTCCCTCAGTTGGCTGAACAGTCCAGGTAAGATCCTTTCTTCACCTGGGACAAGTGGATCTAGGCTTTAATCCCCTGTAATTTAGCAGTACAGGGGTTTGTTAAAAGGACAAAATAGAGTCCCTTCCACTTAGATTCAAGAGAATATTTTAGCTGGTGTCTTTTCCAAAAAGCAAAATCCCCAGGCATGACATCAGGTGCCTTAATCTGTTTCAGGGTCTAGTTATCAAAAGCTTCTTTTATCATAGAGACCTTTTCTTTTCCATAATAAAACAAAGCTTGACAGTATCTCAGTGAACCAGTCTGTAAAAGATTAGAATCATTAAAAGCTAAACCATACAGCAGATTCATGAGCTTTTCAGTAACAATTTCAAAAGAATTCAATTAATGGGGCCCAAAGAGAGTATCCCTTAAATTTAATAAAACCAAAGGGAGAACTTGGTCCCAAGATAGGCCAAAAGAAGAAATTAGTTTTGCTAATTGAGTTTTAATAATACCATTAACTCTTTCTACCAGTCCTGAAGACTGGGGATGATAAGGACAATGAAGCCTTGGAAAAATTGAGCAAATTTCTTTAATGACTTCGCCAGTAAAATGAGTACCCTGATCACTGCAGAGAGTCTTAGGGGCACCCCAGGTTAGGATAACATTTT